CACACACACACACACACACGCACGCACACACACACACACACACACACACACACACACACACACACACACACACACCAACACACACACGTACACACGTGCACACACAGGCACACACAAGTAGGTTTACAATCACATGCATAATATAAATTTGCAGCAATATAAACAATAATAATCGTAAGCTAGATACACACTCAATGTTATTTTGATGCATGCTCTAAGGTCGTAAGTATACTTATACAAGATGGTTAAGATAGAAGCATTTTGATAGATGATGGTAATAATGACCTTCTGTATCTTTCTTTGTTACAGATCAGAAGCTATGGGTCTTTTACTTCTGACTCATGTTTTTATTTGAGGGAACAAGGGATGTTTGTTGTCTAAAAAGATGGAATTAATTTTCTTAGTGCAAGCTGTTATGTACAATTCATCCAAGTAGGGGAATGAAGATGTTGAAATTTTACATGCTTTCCGTATTAGTCGATTTAATTTTTCTTTATCTTGTTGTCTTGTGTTCCCGGCCCATGCTGCTATCAGAACGACCGTTGAATAATAACAAAATGTTATGGTGAGAAGAGTAATCAAACGTTCCGCCGATTTTAAGCAAAAAGCAAAGTTTCAGAGAAAAAAAGCTGTATATCTATATTTTTATTCTAAAGGTGATTAAGAAGCTGTTCCTATGTCAGAAACAAAATTGTTAAAAAGAAATTTAAAAAAAGATTATGTAGTGAAATGCAAAACGATTCTGATTTCTGAGTTTTCATGTATATTGAAAATGAAAGAATAAAAACAATATGCAATAAAGATCAGCATGTTACAGGAAGTGTGGTTTTCAAGTTTCCTGTATTCATTAGTTTGTCTGAGCACAGTTTCTCAACGTGTGAGGTTTATTCCCAGTACACACTTTAGGTTATTCCTCCTTCATGTGTTGCTTCCATTAACGTGTATTATAGTATCTTAAACAGTGCACTCTGATGTATTTCTGTGCGAACCTGCTAGCCCACAAACAATTGATATAGATATTTTTCAGTAAATCATTACAACTCCATTAGTTACAAGCTCAAAACATGTCAGCAGAAATTTGATATAGAAGGGACAAACATCAGAGGGAAAACCTACCAAGACACAACTTCGAATAAGACGTGACTGAAAACCTACCAAGACACAACTTCGAATAAGACGTGACTGAAAACCTACCAAGACACAACTTCGAATAAGACGTGACTGAAAACCTACCAAGACACAACTTCGAATAAGACGTGACTGACAACCTGCCAAGCCACACATTTAATTTCAAGATGGTTAGTACGTGTGAGGGCTCCTTGCGCTATTCCCAAACGAAGTGGGTGATTTAACATTGTAATCACACAAAATACACAGCAACGTCCTCCAATTCTAACATGATTTATTTCTACACAACAAGCTTTTTAATCCCCCAACAGCGTGGGTTATCTCTTTTTTCTGAGTATATTACATTGTGTTAATACCACACAGTCATAAAGTCTCATTGTAACGGAAACAACGATAGCAACTGAAGTTTGTGCTCCCACTCGACTACCGCATATTGTATGAGTCGAGGGCTTAAGACACTAGCAGTCATGTATTGAAATTGGCATACACTTCCATGTAATAGTTTGGTGTTGGTTTTTACTGGACGCCATTGGGCTTTATACCTTTATAATCGGAGATATTTTACGTTGAAATTGATACACCTTAGGTCATTTAGGTGTGGACTGTTTCGACCTTTCAGTCAATGTCAAACATGGGCTGCCTGAGAGGGATACCACGTCCCATAAGGATATACTCGATAAATTTTCTCCCCACACGGCAACCGAACTCACGTCTTCTGTTATTGTCGGACCCCCCCCCCCCCCCCCCCCCCTATGAACATGTTCTTATTACCCACAGGAAAATTGTAAATGGGGTGTTTTATTAATGGCCTGCTCATACTGTGCCGGAACAACACTGGGAACTGCTGAATGTTTCTTTCCTAATCTTTACTATCGTCATTTCTCCTCTACTTCATTTTAGTATGTTTGTCACTCTCTTGTGAACTGCTGTTTCCTGGGTGCCTTGATGGTCGAAGCAGACTTTGTGCTGTTAAGGCCTGAGAGGTGAGCAGAGTAAGCTTGATTCCCCGTTTGGACTTCTCTGTTGACATCTTCCCCTAGGCGCTGATATGACCATATTATTATGCAGTTGCGAGCGCCGTAAAACCTTACTATAACAAACATAGCAATGTTAGTGTCGGGCGAAGTGTGAAAGAGAGAGGGGGTGGTATAAAGAGAACATGAGAGAGATATCGAGAGAGACAGTGAAAGACGGTGACAGACAGAGAGAGAGAGGCAGAAAGATAGGGAGATATTGGGAGGTAGACGGAGAGAGACAGAAATATAGAGAGGCAGACGGAGCGTTAGAGTAAGGGAGAGAGAGAGAGGGGGTGGGGGGACACGAGACAGAAAATGAGGGAGACAGTGAAATGGAGATAGAGACAGAGCGAGAGAGGCAGAAAGACAGGGAGAGGGAGGGAGACAGACATATAGAGAGGCAAAGAGAGATAGAGTTAGGGGAAGGGGAGAGAGACACACAGAGAGTGAGAGAGAGAGAGAGAGAGAGAGAGAGAGAGAGGGGGGGGGGGATTCAGAGAAAGATCAACAGATGTACTGAAAAACAGAGAAATTAAAGGACGCAGGAAATGAGGTAGAAAAGGAGGAATGTTCTCATAATATCGTTCTCTTTAAATAATATCCTTCTTTCATTTATTCAAATGTTACCGTCGTAGCGATTTATTTACTCTTTCACTCTACTCAGGTGCTTTCTCTCTTTATGACCCTGTCTGATCATTTAAAAACCATTCAGAATGAAGATCAATTTTGGTTGAACAAGGGCGTAAAGCATTGAGCATTACAATTATTGATTTTCCCTTTTGCCCATCACCACAAATAGATTGTTATCTATGTCAAGTTTATGTCTCTCTCTTCTTTTCTCACCCCCCCCCCCTCTCTCTTTCTCTTGTCTGTCTGTCTGTCTGTCTGTCTGTCTGTCTGTCTATATGTCTGTCTGTCTGTCTGTCTGTCTGTCTGTCTGTCTGTCTGTCTCTCTCTCTCTGTCTCTCTCTCTCTCTCTCTCTCTCTCTCTCTCTCTCTCTCT